AAATTTCAACTTTCATGAGAGTTACAACAAAATTTGTAAAGGAAACAAGTAATTGACAAAAAAAGAATTTAGGATATATACGCACGTAGAATAAATTTAATATACAATAATTCAAACCATCGAATATAATTTCATTCTAATCGAGGATCTTGATAACGGTTTCAATTTCAGAGCAGTTTATCTATTTGATGATAACATCTTAAATTAGATATCATAATGCAATACGTATGTTCATTACAAAATTTAATATCATGATAATAATCTTTTTATTAGCGAAATATTAATGGATTTGTTAGGAGATTCTACTTGTTTGAGTAATAACTAGATTTTGAACAATAATGTTATTCACGTTAGCATTAATTACCACTATGAAGATTTAAGCTGTCACTTTTCGTAATTGTTTTTCAAAAGCTTATAAAATTTTAGGGCATGATGTTATCTTTTACATCATACATTAGTAGAACTACACTTTATCCTGAATTTGATTTGCTTATTTTCAAAGACAATACAAACAATGAAAAATGTTGTAATCAACGTGTCTTTATAAAATTCAAATGAAGATGTAATTTCATTTTGAAAAGCAAACGTCTTTACAAAAATGTGTTATTTAGTTTTAAAGAGGATAAATATTTTATAACTTTTATCATCATTTTAAGATATACAGTATTCTCATGAGTTCCATTTTTCATCAAACTAAAGTTTCATATTCTTACAAATTTACTGATCTCGTGCAATTTAAAATTTTTAAACTTTTTATGTTAACTGGAAAGCAGGTATTAGTTACCCACACTGCATAGCATACATATTGATTGGCTCATTTTTACTTGGGTTTACTTATTGTGCTAAAGGGATATCGATAGAAATATCATATTCAGATGCTTGTTAACTGAAGTCCAATTTAATTATTTCAATATTTGCCTCCAACAAACAAATGTTCTTTACTCTATTTATTAACATTAAAAAATTCTTATTCTGATACAACTCATATAAATATGTCATCATTTCACCACCATGCTGGCACATATTTCACATTTACAAACTAATTATCTTTACCGCTTGAGCAAATACATGAGCAATGAATCTTAAATAGTTGGAAGAAATATAACAAAATCTCTTCTCGATCATTCTGATACTGCCAATTAGTCTTGATAGATAGAAATGTATTGTCAGCATTGTCGAGGTATATACAAAACGAAATAAAATGACATATTCCCCTAGTTACTCACAAACGTCGTTTTTGAAACAAAACATATTGAATGAAATAAAGATTTCACTAATCTAGTTATATAACAGGGAGGAAAAACAATTTCGCACGTTATAAAAAAACAAGTTCAATCATGGGAAATGTTTATTTATTTGGGAACAATATTCATACACTTTTAAACTTAGAAAGAAATGTTGTTATAGATCATGGTCTGATATTATATTTCATGTAAGATAGCTATTCAGCTAGCCTACGGAATGTCGGTTGTTCTACTCAGGTGAAATCATGAACGACAGAGGGGCATCTGAGGTCTTCCACATCAGTAAAGGCTAGAAAGTCGTAAAGACCTTGCAATTTTTGGTGCGATAAAAACCCACAAAAATGGCCACCCTTTTCTTATATTAATATATTGTTTATCTTGTTTACCTGTTTGTTTCTCAGTATATCTGTTCTTTCCATTTCAGGATACAGCCTTTCTTTTTTCAGGTTTTCCCTAATCGTGTCAGTCTTGTATTACCTTTATTTTCTTTAATCGATGTTTTCTGTGGTATCAGTTTACATCATGTTAAAAAGAAAACCTTCAATATATGTTATGTTTTGAGATATTTAAAATGACAGAAATTGTACAAATCCACAAAACATGAAAGCAGAAGCACATCATATCTTCATCTATTTGTGATTTGTTGCTGCCTTCTTTATTAAGGATGTAGACAGGATCAAAAAATTCAGTAAGTTGTGTAAGATTTATATATTATACATTAAACATTTTGATTTTAAAGTAACAGATGCCTGTCATTTACCAGCACATTTTACTTTAATATTCTGTAAATTTTACAAGAAAAATTATTTTCAGGTTGTCTTTAATTGATTTTCAAATCCGATACTCAAAATGAAAACGTAAAACATTGTAGTTCATATCTTTATAAAATTTATATTGCTAAAATACATGTACATATTAAGGAAATCAATGTACAATAGTTTATAAAAAGTTTTCAATGTAAAAGAATTTCTACTTCCATCAAATAGTTTGTATATGCCTTAAATAGTTTAATCACAAATATATTCTTTCTTCTGAACAACACGGGATGCTTGGAAAAGAGTTTTAGACAATTTTAATCTCTGTAACAGTAGGACGTTCCTTGCAACAATTATCCTGTATCTTGCATAAAATGACAAATCTAATATACTAAACGCTTTAAATATCGGAATACTGGATCTCTTTTAAAAATAACATGAAAGGTAAATTGGAATGTGAGGCATTTTACCACATATATGGTATTACCTTAGATAAATGTAATCTTCTGATGGTGTATGCCAACTGACAGATAATATCTAAATCAAGCTGATTACACATTTTTTGTCAGTAGGAAGTTATTATTATTGTTTTATCTTCATGCTGTAAAACAAAATGCTCGTGAATATATTATTCATTTGTGGTGCTAGTTTGGCCGTAGTTCATACCTTTGAAGATAAACAAATATCACAATGGTTGGCGGTCAATAGCTACAGCACATGTGTCAGTCTTTTAAAACAGGCAGGACTTTACGATATATTCAATGGACCAGGAGGTAAGTGTTGAAAGTATTGATAAATATTTTTTTTTCAAAATTAGATTTAGACTGTAGCACTCATAGCTTTATTGTGTTTATATTAATTCTGGAAATAATGATATGTACCAAATTATACTATCAATGACAAAAACTCATTTCCAGGCCGATATAAACAGAACCAAATGAATAAAAATCGAATATTTGATTTATTGTGTCATTTATGGGCGAACAAAAGAAAATGAAACTACTTTAAAGACCTTATAATCGGCTTGAAATGGCATACTATTTTTTTCAGCTTACACCATGTTTGCGCCATCAAATGCAGCCTTCAGTAAAGTGCCTCAGAGTACGTTAAATTCTCTTGTATCTGATAAAGCACTGTTAGTATATGTCCTCAAAAATGATCTGTTACCAGGGTTTGCGATGACTACTTCTTTACGTGATGGTGACATTAAGACGAGCCTTAATGGAAAAGATCTTACATTCAAACTGTTGCCAAATGGAGTAAGCTTTATTACTTTAAGCTTTTATGTATTTTGGCAAATGGGTTACAATATCAATTATATTATTATTATTATTATTAACATTATTATCATTATTATTATTATTATTATCGAATCGAGTTTTCAAATATTTTTTAACATTCTAAATTCTCTACTGATCCAAAATATGTATGATTCTTAATTATCGAACGTCAGTACAAATACATGTTTATCAGATAGAAAGTTGACGAGGTTATTCATATGCATATTGTTTGTGTGTGCCGCGTAAAATGTGAATTACTTTTCTACAGGTTTTAATGGTTAACAATGCTGTTGTAAGCGGAAAGTTCAGCGATATAATTTTAAACAATGGTGTCGTACATGTAATTAATTCGTGTTACTTCAAGTCACGGATAAAGTCGGGGAAATCCTGCTAAAGAGGAATGAGGACACCCTAAGTTTCCTTCTTGCCATTACAGATCTTGCAACCATTTTTCTAGGTAATCAAAATAACTTTTACGCCCCCGAAAGGCGCCATATTTAAAATCGCTACGTTCGTCTGTTTGTGCGTCCCAACTTCATTCGTTTCCAGACTGTAACTTTGTCATACTTTGAGTGACTTAGAAATAGCTTCAGACAAATGTCTGCCACATATTTTTTATCCCCTTATTTTTTATTGATGTCCTTTTGGACTCCTTACCGGTGGTCCTGCTAGGCTCTATGTGGGGATTTGTAATTTAAATGCCGCCTTTCCTTGTTGATCTTTGTATATTTTAGGCTAAGCACGTTGATGATATATCTTAATCTATTTGTTATAACAATAAACTAATATTTAGTTGTTGTCTTTGTCTAAATAGGAAGAAATGTTACTTTACTTGCGCCAACAAACGATTCCTTCCTTACAGTAAGTCCAAGTCTTCCAGACCTTTCCCTTCCTGAATCATTAGACGTATATAAAAGTAAGTGCTCTCACATATTGCAATACCGATATCTGCTTAATACTTGATCTTACTTAAATGGTTATTTAGTTTAAACAATATTTATTTATAATCTATGCATTTATATAATAAGGTACATAAAATAGAATTTACGGATTGAGTTGGAAGCTTGAAATGCTTTTCTTAAACTCCCTCTGTAAAGTGGTTATTTGTAATGACATATAAAGAAAAATTGTTTTGTTTGACTGTTCAAAACAATGACTATGTGTATGTGTTACATTTTAAAACAACTATATAACATTAAGAGTATTCATTTCTTTTAACGAATTATCTACCATAAGCATTAATTTTTTCTTGGTCCAATACGAAACACAAATATGTGTGAAAGGAGTGATTATAAATTACTACTGGATGCGTGCTGCAACCTTACTGGTCTTATACGAACAATATTACGTTGAATCTGATCTAGAACAAATCCATAAACAAATAAAATGAATACCGTTGTAGAAATTCTGCGGAACCATGTCGTAAATGGTGTTTTCCGCTCAAATGCGCTTCATAGCGGAGAGGTTGTCATCGCTTTAGGTGGAAGAACTTTACATATCAGCATCAACTCAAGTAAGAATAATAAATATCACATTTTAGAAGTGTCAGTAAATGAAAACGGAAACCGATACTACTTAGGGTGTGGCCTTATTTGCAAAGCTTATGTAATCACATTCAGTCATTAATATTATTTATTGACAGCAACATACATTTTGTGAAATATTGTGAATGTTTTAGAACATTTCTGAGGTTTTCTACTTTTTCTATGTCATGTATTGGCTACGTTCAGGGACGTACGGTTGATATCAGTTTTCAGACGCAAAATACAAAACCGCAGCGTAATATTCCGTATGTGTCAGCCTTTCTAAAAGCCCTAATAAACATTAATATATCTAAATAGCATATATTTTTTCCACAAAATAAAAGTAAACCTATACGCTTCAGACGGTGTGTTAGTTACACCTACTGGATCGAGAACCACGGGAAATTTGACAGAACCTGACGTGCCAGCCATCAACGGTTTGATACATGTGGTCAACAATGTTCTTATTCCACATGGTTTGAAGAGAAGTGCCCCCAACGAACTGATTTTATTTTTCAATCCGTTAATCAAAACAAATATGTTACTTTGTACAATTTGAATCAAAATTTGCAATCACACAAATGTAGACAATGGTGAAAATAAAGCGCAAAAACGTCGATTTGCTTGTTACTAAACACACAAATTTACCCAGCTATCATGTTTAATCTTATGTGGTCATTGTTTAGGAGCAATAAAAAAAGCATTTGCGTGGACTCATTTCATTCTAAAAATAACCCTCTTGAAAACATTTAATTTAGAAATTTGGTATTTTCCAAGTAGCAAATTGTTTTTTGTGCTGGTGAAGGTATGGTTTACATGAGCCGATAAGTTTCGTTAAGACTATTTTCTTTCATTCTAAATAGTTTTCAAAACAATATTCAACAAAAAGTTATTTTGTATTTATCAGATTTTTTTCAAACAAAATGGCGAAGGAAGTCCCATAAAATAAATATGAGTTTTGACTCCGCCCACTTTTATATTTATATTTCATATTTATTTAAAAAAAAATATGAACTATATTTGACTGATATATAGAGGATATTTGTTTAGTTCAGTGTAAGATCGGAATATATTTCACCGAGTGAGCACCAAAAGGTATATTTCACGAGTGGCGAATCCACGAGTGAAATATGAACTTTTGGTGTTCACAAGGTGAAATATATTTCGATCTTACACTAACGTAAACAAATTTTCTTTTTACTATATGCAAAGAAACGTTTTTAAAAGACATTAAACCTAATACTGAATGAAAAGCGCGCCAAATAATAATACAACGTGACGTCATTGACGACGTCACGTCATTAAGTTGGTATCCAGTACTGTGCACGCTGGTATTTCACTGAAACAACGTAAGGGGCTTAAATTCAAAACAGTGAAATTATCAAAGTGGTAATTTCACTATTTCAAACAGTGAAATTACCAGTTTTATATCACTGATATATTTCTATAAACCACCGAAAAGCATGTAATAAAGCACCATATTTCATGGGTAAAATAAAATAGAATTCCTTATTTATACCAAATAAAATGAGGACTGTTTACAGTTCAAAAAAGAGTCAATATTCATTGGCGCGCCTGTAGTATCGCTAACAACAGCAGGCTTTCTGCTATGTTTGCATATTAAGCAAGTGTCTTCACGTCAAATTGTTATTAAACTAGTGTATTTTTTAAGTGTAATATCTTTTTTGTTTAATACGTAAGTGGCTGTATGTCACACCTTTGTTGTGGTTTATGTGATAAATGTTGGTGTTTAATAAAATTAATGTTGTTGTTTATTTATTTATTTTGTAGTATTAATTGTTAAGTCTTTTCCTTTTGGAAAGATATATTCACAACAAAATTGTAAGCATGACTGATAAATATATATCCATGAGCAGTTGGCGAATAACATAATTATCTTACAATTTTTGCACAATGCCTGGTTGGTTCTCTATCTGACTGACATGTATTAGAAATCTAAAACAGATAATATGATTAATAAAATCTAGACATTATCTTAACACAATTATGATCAGAGTGGTTAAATAAGAAAAACTAACAATCCTTAACATCATTCTATACCATGAATGTCAAGACAATCCCAAGAATATAATGGTATTTGAGCATGAATACTATTGTTATTTTCTGATCAATTATACTTTGAAAAAGAAAAATAACTTTAAAAGGATACAGAATCCGAAATACTGATAATAAAAAATTCCGTTTAGAGATGTAAACGTTTAACGTTTCGGAGAGAACCCCTTAAAACTATCACACTAAACAACAAAATCAACAAACGCTAAAAAATATAAACATAATCATGACAGAAATTCAATCTTTCCAAATTGTTATACTTCACAACAGGCAGGTGTCAAGTGCATTGTGGCAGGTGTAAATAGTTGACCGTCCTTCACTTCAATACAGTGTTATACAGTGTTATATTTTCTGTTTACTGTATTTTATTAATAAGAAGGTTATTTCTTTACTTAAGGTTTCTATTAAATAATTTTGTTCTTTAACGATCTTCAGTGGATTCTTTCAGGTGAGGAAGCTATCCAGCTAGCTTGCGGAACGTCGGTGGTTCTACTCAGGTGCTCATTCGTGCCTGAAATAATGCATGGAAGGGCACTTGAGGTCTTCCTCCACCAGTAAAGCTGGAACGTCGCGATATGACCTATACTGTGTCGTTGTGACGTAAAACCCAAAACAAACAAACTTACGGGATCATTAATTCCAGCACGTTGATTACTGAAGATCGAACATCGCTAATGCTGGTGCTAAGAGTGAGAACATTATCCCTCAAAAACAGACTCAATCAAACTGAGTCTGCAAATTAAATTTTCACACAACTTTGCTGTTTTCATTGGTTCCTTGGGATCATGACTTTTCCAGATTTTTCAATTATAGAAATATTCGTTAAAGAACAAACTTATTTAATAGAAACCTAAAGTAAAGAAATAACCTTCTTTTTAATAAAAACAGTAAAAAAGAAGCCACATAGAAGAACTTTACCGTACAATGCTAACCAAAGTGTATAAAATAACGTATTCTATGTTCATCCAATTTGCAATAAAATATATTTTGAGATTTTAAACTAAAAATATCAAACTGTATAGTATTAAAACATGTAAAATAAAATATATTTTAAAGGTCTTTTAAAAGTTTAAGTTTACTTGTACTAATTATGGAAATTAATATTCTACAATATATAAAAACGAAGCGTTGTTTTAGTTCAAAATATATCGATACAATATTAGTATGATATCATTAATGATAAGAAGAGCAAGAAGATAATTATATACAAATGTAGTTTGCATGCATTCACGAAATTGCTTTTGTAACTTGGACTTTTGCAACATGTTATGCAAGTATTTGATGATAAAGGTATTTGAAAAAAATAGGGAATTTCAAAGACGCTCAATCAGAACAACAATGTGTATTCAAGACACTACACAGAATGTTCCGACTTGCACTATGTATGCTGTTTCATTTGATTCCTTTGGGAACTTCATCTTTGGTCTGATACATTGGTGCGTCATGTGAAAACAAAATAAAGGAATGGTGGTTTATAGAAACGTGTTATTTTTTAATTTCAAGGCAAGCAAAGTCAAATGCAATACTTACCTCTAAGCCAAATTGCTCCATTCTGTCTTTACCTAATAGTATGCTATTGTTTAAGTGCAAAAAAAGTAAAATCAATATCAAAGTTTTTTTTAGAATAATAACATTGTTAACCTTGTCCATCTCAATTATTTTCAGAACGTTGTCGAGTTATTTTTATCATGATTCTCCCTATAAAGTCACTTATCAAAAGTGGCATTATGTATTCAGGAGTAAATAGTGAGTGTACGTGCACAATAATTTTATATTTTGTAAAACAAAGGTTTTCAATTTTACATTAAGCTTCGCCAAAAATAGTCAATAACTCAATACCAATGAAATTTTCTGTAATATCTGTAGTACTATATTGGTAATACTTATATTATAAAAAAAGTGTAAAAGTCTTTTAATACTTCAGACAGTTTTTAAAATTTATCTTTGGTCCTTTAAATTACTGGTCAATAGCTACATTAGTTTCAATCTTTAGGAAATAGCTAATTCAGCTCAATTTGACAACACCAAATGAACATAATGTCCCTTTAAAGATTAAAAGCAATTAATATCGAATAATTTTTAAAACAAATCATTACAATGTATTTTATTTCATATTTGTTTAAGAAGTTTATGATAATGAATAGACATTGATTAAATTATATATTTGACTTTAAATCAATTTGCACTTTATTAAGGTTTGACGAAATTGCATTGTTAAAATGGCGAAGAACACGAGCTTTCCCACAGACACTTGGGGTTTGGAGCTCAAAACGCCTTTAAAATCCAAATAAAATGCATATTTGTCAATCCCAGCACATGTACTGATCATATATATCAAAAAAAACTTAATATAAGCCGTTTTGAAAAAAATTCATATTTCAACATCTATAATAATACACATGTCAAGATAAAAATGTTCGCCGGAAAAAATCCGCACCCCTACCGTCATAATCACCATGTATTTTATTCCATTGTGCACACGGCAAAGCTGGGGCCACATAATCGGATAGCTTCGTTCATAGCCGTCTGGTCCATTGAATTTATCGAAAGATTTTGTAGTTGGAGGAAAACGGCGATAGTTTTGATGTTTATTTCGGCTGTTGTGTTGTTTATATTACCGTTGAAGTTTAAAATTGACCATCATCGTGAAGAATTATATCTTCTGTGTCGATGGACCAAAGGATTATGTGAAAATATTGGAAATGAAATAAAATACATGGTGATTATGACGGTAGGGGTGCGGATTTTTTCCGGCGAACATTTTTATCTTGTGTATTATTATAGATGTTGAAATATGAATTTTTTTTCAAAACGGCTTATATTAAGTTTTTTTGATATATATGATCAGTACATGTGCTGGGATTGACAAATATGCATTTTATTTGGATTTTAAAGGCGTTTTGAGCTCCAAACCCCAAGTGTCTGTGAGCTTTCCGTGCGCGCAACTCTATCGGAGATGCACATGATTAGTATGGAAGGTGGTACGTACCATTGCGCAAATAGAATTTAAAATTTCAGTTTGTGGTCATGTTAAAATTGAGGCAAAATTATACATCAATTTTTAGATTGATCTAAAATGAATTTGATTAAAAAATATAATTTTCTATTTAAAAAAAGCAAAAGTGCGACATTTTTCATGCTTCCTTCAAACAATGTTTTGACTTCGAATAAATGTTTTTGGTTTCCATCCTTTAATGATAGTGTCTATAGTGTCTATCTTGCTTTTAAAATTTATGATGACATCAATATAACTACAATAGTGACAGACGTGAAGATAAGAGGGATATCTCAAGTTATAATTCACACTAGACAGATACATTTATACTGCCAAATGCAACATATTTCTTATAAAAAAGAATAAGTCAAAATCATTACTAGACGCAATGTAATTTTTACAACTTATCTATGAACATGATTAAGTAACAGACCTTGTCTGTTTCAGGAATAATTTATTTATTTATTTTTCCGGGAGGTAGATATTGCCTGTTGAAAGTGCTAATAGATTACATTGGAATTTGTCTGTCTGAAGACCTGAATTAATATGAAATATCTCGCCGAGCAAACGATCCTATCATGATTTTACATTGTGAAATCTACTTTTTACTAAGCTAGGGTATGATTTTCAAGCAATATCTGAATATTTGAAACATTGTATTGTGTGGTGAGCAATAGATACAACATGGACATCGGAATCTATAACAAGCAATCGGCCAAACAATGCTCTGGTAACCGACATAAATTTACAATGCACATGAACTTGTGAAAAAGTGCAATATGTAATTTCTAATAGTTCTTAATAGTATTAGATTTGTGAAGAATTGAAAGGATGATAATGTTTGCTTTATAAGGTATAAAATATTGATTTATGATAAATGCAACTTTTCAATTTTTGTAAAGCGTAATACAGAAAATAATATCATTTATTATATAATAAGTAGGTCTTCCTAACACGCATTCGAATAAAATCAAATGGGACATCAAAAGCAATTAAAGATTAAAACATAACTTTGTAAGATTAGAAAGATAATGGAAAATAAGGAAAACTATGACGTATGATAAATTTGCATAGATATAAGTAACATAATACATGGAATGAACGTTGCATAAAACCAATTTGCATGATCTTAGAATAATGATAACAGAAACATTTAGGTCAAAGAAGCAGAGGTCACCGATCTCGTTTTCGAGTTTTAATCGGCTTTTGGGGTGGGGGACTTTGACATGCATGATTTATTTTAGCGTATTTGAATAAGAAGTACCTCTTTTAGACCTCTAAATATATTAAGATGTCATCGACTATCATTCTGACAATACTTTGTGTAAAACACTTATTTTTCGCGAGAACCTTATTTCGCGAATTAGAGGCAAAATGTCCAAAATAATTATTTCGCGTCAACATGAATTCGCGTCTTCCCGAAAAATGTGAAACCGGAAACCCGATGTCATTCGGAGATTTTCTGTCCTGTCCGTTCACTAACTTTGCGTCGTTTATTGTGCGACAAATGCATTTATATCTGTATCGATTTTTCTGATAGCTTGCTAATCTTCTTGTTAAGTGAAACCGTCTGTCTAAAAATATGTCAATAAAGTTTGATAATTATTTGATATGTGTTCACTGTGTTTGTCATGTATTGTCCCTGATTATACTCCGTGCCTCTAGCATTGTTACTAGTAATACTAGTATTGAATGTTTCGTATCACGTTCTAGTCTGCCGTACTTCTGTGATGTCTAGTAAAAAGATAACTTCGTTCTTTAAGAGGGCGTCTATGACTGACAGCGGGCTGCCCGTACCAGAGACACCGGAGGAGACTTTAGCCAATAAGTTGGTTGAAGATGCCACTGATCGTGCTAGTACATCTGGAAAACGTCCAGAAAATAAATGCGGAGAATAAGATGATCAAGCGTGGGTGGTTGCAGGCTGGTATTGTTCAATAGACATTGACCTTGATAATTGTGTTGGAAATTCAATTAATTCATTCAGTTGGACAGATTTTCACATTAATTAGAACAATCTGTAGAAATACCATTAAAATTTTGTGAGACGCATTAATTTGATTATACTTAATTCTAGTGCAAGTCACAGCTACCTTTCTTAACACAGGTAATATGCAGCGAAGAAGTTTTTTTTCCAATTCCTCAATAATACCAAATTGTTACAGGTTAATATCTCATACTAGTAATCTGTACGATATGTATTTGCTGCAACACTTGAATACCTACATGATGTAACTAGAACTGGTTGCAATACTTTCCCGCAGATATATATCCATGTGTACGCATTTTCGGATAGTGTTTATTTTCGGACAAGTGTATAGACAAAGTGAAATATTCGCGAGAAATATGAACGAAGTCAAACATATTTGATATGGCTAGATAGCCTGCGATATGGGCTTGTTACGAACCTTTTGTACTCTGGAAATGAACACAAGTCTAAATGGGTGTGATATTGATATGATATGAAGCTTCCGGACTCTGGAAATGAAACCGAGTACTTGAAGGGTGTCTTACGTATTAAATATGGGTATTTTTGCACTCTGAAAATGAAAACGAAGCTAAATAGGTAAGATTGAATCAAATAATGATTCCTTCTGGAACTTCACGTGGTGCAAATGCTGTGCAAGTGCATTGGTTATATTTTATAAGGTGAGGAATAATTAATACTACTCGAAATACTTATGTCAAACTGGAGAAAATGACGCATTTATGCATGTATCTCGGAATATTGAAATTAACATAACGCCCTCGTAGTTTGATTACATTACACTCAGACTTAAATATCATACTTACTGAATACCACGTTCGAGACGTTTGAGGCAAATTAATAGACGGGCTTTGCATTTTGCAATCTTATTAATCTTATTAATGCAGATCTCTTTCATATGCTCATAGGCAATTTAAGTGCCATACAACCTCATATTTAGCCAAACACATTTTATATATTATGTTCGCGTTTAATTAAGCTTGTTCTTATATTAATTATATCCGTCACCATAATGTCCCTGTATGAGACATATTGATCAAGCGTTACAGTAATTTCATTTGTATCATGAATATGCAAAAAGGATCACTGATCCTTAAAGTATTTATCAAAATTCTATATGTATTCTTATTCTTTCTAGTGAATTGAAAGTATGATATTTGAATCAAATCAGTCATTCTGTGTTAATTACTGATGATTTGAAATTGTGTGTGAGAATTAATAGATTATTCACTAAACATATACTTAAAATGCAATACAGTTAACATGAAAACCAAGGGCGTTGTTGATATAATTATACATTAAAATAACTTGCTAGCATTATATAAAAAGTTTTAAGATCTACAGCTAGCTTAACATGTAAAATAAAGTAAAATCTGATGTTTCTTTGAAAAAGCCAAACCATAGTTTACTCTATTTTAAGTGAATTATACATACTAACTTCAGCACAGCGTAGGTTACTTTAAATATCATCTTATTTCTTCATTGCTAAATGTAAATGTATGTATAAGGATTTACATTGGATACAGTTTTAGTATCACCTTATAATGCAATGCATTCATTGAATACCAAAAACTGAGAGAAGTATCCAGACGGCAAAATTGAAAATGTTGCAGAATCTTTGATTGATTCTGTTCATGGACAAAAGTGGTATATGCAAGCCATCGTCCACGCTCCCTAGCACCGGCTTAAACTAGATTAAACATGAAAATGGTGAAATTGTTTAGTAAAATTACATTTCAATTCAATTAAGCTTAATAACCGCCTCGCATTTGCATTTGACTACGAAATATTATTTGAAGTGGTTAAGGCGTCTGTCTCTTAACAATCGAAGTTGGAGCATTTCCCGAGTTACTTCCATATTTGCTCTTACGACAACAGTCTGGAGAATTTCATGGTGTAGATACATAAATGAAATGATTAATACATGTTACTAAATCTTTTTATACAATCGGGCTTATGGTAGGGTGACAATCTGGCCCTCAAAAACAAGGGACCCGACCATGAAGACTAACAAAATTTGTATATACCAAAATTTTCAGCATAGTCTATAGTTCTTGAAACTGCCGGCATAAATTGGCATAAGTCACTGCGTTTTCCAGAATCCAAGATGGCCGCCAAGATGGCCGCCAAAAAAATAAAAAAATGCCCAATCAGACTTATGTTGGTTATAGGGTTTCCTTATGGCATTTAACTTTGTTTTTATTGATTATTTTATAAGAACAGACATAAATCTTAACATATTTAAGCTTTTCTGAGATTAATATCATACTTTGCGACTTTTTTGGTGAATAATACCCAAAAATTGCGAGAAAATCAGGGGGTAGGGGTAATATTTTCGTAAATATTTCAAGATGTGGACAATACATGCAGTTTATTTTTACTTATAACACTTCAGTAGTATATAATACTTACTATTTCAAACATTTTGTAACACATTCATTATCAACATTCACAATATTTATGATCTTTATGTGGTTGGGGCATTTTATCTGCAAAAAAACTGTTATAATGTATAGTATACTATATATAAATTCGCAAACGGAACAAAAAGTGAATAAATGCAACATATTTCATTTTTACACTGTTAAGCTTACATAAGCACATATTTAAGCATAACTTGTTGTATGATAAAATCATCATGACTGTTAAGCAAAATTATGCTTAACATGGCTGTTAATGCAGATTTTGGCCTTTTCCGAATAAATACTGTAGATATAATACAAAACTAGCATGTTGACAAGAATTTTCTGCACAGCTTGCCATTGGCTAAGATCAGGCTAAAGCTATTCTTTAATAAAATAAATATTTGCAGAAAAACACATCAATGTCCAAACTTTAGTATATGAAGTGATCAAAACAACTGCACTCAAATGTTCAAGTCTGACATTTCATCATTTGACATTTTAAAAGCTGCGGTGGTTATTTTCATCCTGATCAACATATTGAATATAAACAAAACTAGGATAAAAGCTACAGATTGACAGAACATACAATATAAGTACAAACAATGTTTCTCCTTACTGTTAGACACAACTTAATTATGCAAAGTTCACAGTTATAGACTTCAACAAAGCACAAATAGCTATATTCTACTAACTATTAACAATGTGCTTAGGCAAAAATCATAATAGTATAGGTCTAGATGTCGTTTTCGATCTCATCATCTGCAGAGACACTTGCCAGCATTGTAAACAAATTTTGACAGATGTCATCACAATCTTGTAGTGTACCCTTGCAGCTGCATGCTGTTGTACATGGTTGTTCATTTTCCTGACAGATACATTCCTCACTACAATGGTCATCACAAGCACATACCATATCACTTAAAAGCTCTGGTGGTGCGCACGGTTGTGACATGAGTTGAGGCGAGTACAAGCCCCTGTTGTCAGTCACATACCCACATTCTAGTGGATCTTGTTCAGGCTGAGGGTTCAAAGCATTTCTCCAAATGAACAGCTGGTATGTACATCTTAGTAAGTGTAACATCATGCTGTCATTTGTTGGTGTCAATCTTTTTGGCTTGACTCTAACCTTACCCAAGACAAGTTCTTTGCGTAGGATATTCAGAGATGTGCAACATGTTTGCCCATAGAGCATAACAACAAAGAGAATGGCTGCAGCTTTTGTTTCAGAAGATATCTCTGGCAGCTGACCTAAGTCTGCTAGGCTTGTCAGTTGTGGTGAATGTTTGCGCAGAACATGGAAAGCTTTCTTCTTCCCAATTCCATGGAAGGAGGAACATGTGTCGCACCCTGTGATACAATAAACTGGAAGTAGAACGGCTCTTTCATTGGGATTCAGTGCTCTGTACACCAAATGTACTGGTATGTATCTTGTAAGGTTACAGTACAAACCCTTTCTGCCGGTCTTGAAATACACGACTTCTATTCCCAGACTATCATAGTGGTGGACCAGTAGAACAAGCACATCTGTGTCTGGACTTACCACTGTTGCACTCTTGATCCTTAATGTTGCCGATGCATGTGCCCAGTGGAACAACATTCTGCTATCAGCTTCCTCTTGGTTTGACTCAAGGCCACCAACATATGAAACTGCCTTGTTTGTAACCAATAGAGTCTTCTGCTGTAACCCACCAGAGACAAACAGTTGCATGCCCTCAGCAATCAGGGTATGGCAATTTTCTGTTAAATGCCTTGTATACAATGTATGGAATACCCGTCCGTGCTCTGCCCATATCACACTCCCCTTATTTTTTGTTTGTTTGATGTCCTTTTGGACTCCTTACCGATGGTCCTGCTAGGCTCTATTTGGGTATTTGTAAGTTGAATGGCGCCTTCCTTCTATATTTTAGGCTAAGCACGTTGATGATATAGTTTTATTTTATTTGTTATAGCATTAAACTAATACTTAGTCGTTATCTTTGTCTAAATAGGAAGAAATGTTACTTTATTTGCGCCAACAAACGATGCCTTCCAAACAGTTAGTTCAAATTATGATACAAAAGACCTTACTGGTCTTGTACGAAAAATATTTCGTTGAATCTGATCTAAAACAAATCCATAAACAAACAAAATGAATACTGTTGTAGAAATTCTGCGGAACCATGCCGTAATTGGTGTTTTCCGCCCAAATGCGCTTCATAACGGAGATGTTTTCTGAGGTTTTCTACTTTTTCTTTGTCATGTCTTGGCTACTTGTAGGGACGTTAGGTTGATATCAGTTTTCAGACGCAAAATACAAAACCTCAGCGTAATATTCCCTATGTGTCCGTTTTTCTAAAAACCCTATTATTATAAATATTAAAATATGTACAATTTAAAATAATTTTTTTCACCCTAAAAAGTAAACCTATTTTGCTTTAGAGGGGTTTTTAGTTAAAAACCCCCACTGGATCGAGAACCACCGGGGAAAAAGAAAAGAACCCGACGTCCCAGCCAAAAAAACGGTTTT